CTCGTACACGAAAATCGACAATGACCAAACCACCGCCATTGGATATTTCAATGTAAGTCGATATTTCAAAATGGAAGGATAAAATTACGGGTACCCTGGCCAATAGCGAAACGTAAGCCCCATGACTACCGCATGGTTCCCCATGGCAACGGTTTGCCAAAAACTCCACCGATCACGTTCATCCAGGCCGGATGTTTGCCAAATTGACAAAAGCTAATGGTATGTTAAGAAAAGGCTTTCTTTGAATAGACAGAATGGACCTATCTCGCATAAATAGAAAAAGAGAGCTAAATTGTAATAAATTCAAGTAATAAAAGATGACATGCGCGCGCAACTCATGGCTACAGTGTAGTCAGATTGTATTGTTGCAGAACAAATGTAGACAATACAAATCGAACATTATAACACTGAGGAAGTGATAATTTAGTGTCAAGTGTTTTACAACGCCTCAAATCAGACAAAGGAAGAGCTTTAAAGTGTATGTAAACTTCGTTTGCACTTTTATTTTATGATAAATAATAGGTCTGTTTCTGCAGAAATCTCAAACCAGTCAAAGCGAATTTCATTGGTTGAAAACAGTCAGGAAACTAGATTCAACCAATGGAATTCACTCTGACTGGTTTGTGATTTCTGCAGAAACAGACCTATTATTTATCATAAAATAAAAGTGCAAACAATGTTTACATGCCTACAATTTAAAGCTCTTCCTTTCTCTGATTTAGGCGTTGTAAAACACTTGACACTAAAATATCACTTTTTCAATGTTATAATATTCGATTTGTATTGTCTACATTTGTTCAGCAACAATACAATCTGGCTATACTGTAGCCACGAGTTGCGCGCGCATGTCATCTTTTATTACTTTCTAACTTGTATTTATTACAATTAAGCTCTCTTTTTCTATCTATGCGAGATAGGATAGGTCTATTCTGTCTATTCACAAAAGAAAACATTTTCTAAACATACCATTATCTGTTGTCAATTTGGCAAACATCCGGCCTGGATGAACGTGATCGGTGGAGTATCGACTTACATTGAAATATTCAGTGGCGGTGGTTTGGTCATTGTCGATTTTCGTGTACGAGTTGCAATACGATATTATACGTCCGAAAAGTTGCGCACGCAGCTGGGTAAGTAGTTTATGAATGAACTCAGCCATTTTTTCTACAACTGCATTTTCCTCACCGATGCCCCGTAGCGTCAGAATCGTTGAGCAGACATTAACTTTACGAAGTGTGATTTTTCGATAATACTCAAATCTTTTATCCACTTGTGAGGCATCACTAGACTGGAAATTTTATGCTTTTTTCAAAAATCGAATAATCCAATATGGCGCCCATAATAAAAATGAAAGTTGAGGCGGCTCACGGAATAACAAAAGACGATTGAGACATGTCATACACGCTATCTCATTGGTCTTGAAAAAGTGCCTGAATAATGTCACATTTTGACAGCTGTCAAATTAACCGTTTCGGGTTAACCGGCAAAAAACGAAATCCGTCATTTTCGGTTTTTCGCCGATATTTCCAAATCTAATTGAGCGATCGTTATTCTGAAGCCGATTATCGAATGCACTTAGCTTCCTCTTAAACTTCCCCTATTTAACCTTTGCTGTAGGTATAATAGGAGCCGAGATCCCTGTATAGAGAAACGAATCTGGGACACACTGTATATCACTATATTGCTTCACAAAGTTGCATACGGACGACTAATTTAAAACTGACTATTTGTGATGATCATTTTGTTGTTGATAAAATGTTGAAAAAGGCGCTACTTAAATTTTGTATACCTGTTCTTATTGACGCAATTTTTATTTATTTTTTTGTATTTCGATCATCTCAGCAATTAGTCTTTTTCTGTAGTTAAATTCTGTTTGTAAGATTGTGGTGTTGTCAAAGTCGAATTTATGTCCTGTCTTTAGTTTATGTTCTACTAATGCTGTTGGGTTAGTCTTCAAGAGAAAGTTTTTTTTGGTCATTTTGGTGTTCCTTCAATCTTTGTTTCAAATATTTACCAGTCTGTCCGATATAGTTTTATTACATTGAGAGCAAGGAATATTGTAAACTAAATTCGATTTAAATTCCTTTTTGGTCTTTGATTTGGTTTTAGAGAAAAAAAGTCTTTTTATGGTATTTTGGTGATTTCGACTTTTTCTTCTTCCTTAGACTTATGGCCCTTGAAAGTTTTTTTTATTTGTTCTGACAGTTTTCCAATATATGGGATTTTGCAAAAAAGTTTTTTGTCACTTTGCTGTGTTAATTTTATTGAATTTGATCTTATGAGAATTTTTCTTATTAGAGATAATGGATAATCATTTCGCACACTAGATACAAAAAAAACCTATTCTATGTACTTCAGGTTCTTTCTATGGAATTTCTCAGAGGACAGTGCAAGAGCTCTAGATTTCAAATTATAAATAATATTAATTTTTTGTTGAATAGGGTGTTCAGACGAATAATTTAAAAATCTTTTAGAAAAACTAGGTTTGTGAAACCAATAAGTCTCTATGTTCTTTCCATGCCTTAATAGTAATACATCTAGGAAAACTATACTTTATACTTTTAGAGCAGGCGCTACAAGTAGTTGAGTATGCAAAATGTGAGGACCGGCAAAAATGCTCAAATTCGTATTCCTGTGATCCTAAAGAATTGAAAAGTACATCTTGCCGGTAGCTGGAGTGGTTCCTAACTCTCCTGCCATCCCCCAATGCAAAGTTATATGTACCTACAACATCATTTATCAAAATTCAAAATCGTAAACTAACAGGATTGCTCATCCTAATAAGGCATACGTTCTTGAGTCGGCAGGGTTTACGAGTGACGTCACCACACCAGCAGCTAATAGTGGGGACGTCACCCGCAGACCTCAATGGAATGCTTTCGATTCAGGCTGTGCTTGTTATTTAATTTTTTCGTCGATTTTAAATGTAGAAAAGGTGATTTTAACGTTTAGGAATTCTTTTTTTTTGACCTATAGTGTTTTAAACCCGGATAATGCATTTTACTCCAAGAGTTGAGGTCTGCGGTTGACATGGAGTTGGTAGACACTTTCCGCTCAATAAGCAGTTCTATCAGGTACCTAAGTATGAAACAATAACCTCAAAAAAACTTTTGGCATGTACATAGAGCAATTTTTCCGCACGCCCTTAGAGAAAATTGTGTCCCTAACGCTTACGAGAAATGGTATTTCCCGCACTTAATAGAAAAATAACTATTTTTTTTTTTCGAATTTGACATGAAAAAATTTTCCGCCCTGCAGCAGAGCAAACGACTTTTCACTCCAAAAGCCAGTGCTTGCTCGATCGTAGAAAAAAAAATATTTATTTATTTATACTCCTTTAAAACACCAAAGCTTTGTTTGTAGTCTGGGGGCCGAGGACCTTTTTTTCAAATTATTAATAACAAGCTAGTTTTTTCAATGCAGTTTCATTTTACCCAGACACCCAACTTTTTTCTCAACGAAAATTGTGAAAACAGGTAGCTAACATACTGCGCAGGTGTAAAACATGTCGATTTGGTGACTATAAAAATTTAATCAATAACAGTTAGTTTCTTAGCTAAATGTTGAGATAATTTTATGAATAATTTGAAACAACCTTTGTCGGACAAAATAAAGGGTTTGGTCTACGATATCCCCCCCTCAAACATGTAGCAATTACGTTGCATAAAAAATGATTAATAACAAGTTGATTTTTTCAATGTAGGTTGGTAAATATTATTACAATTAAATGGTCACACTGTCCTACAAATAAACAGGTAGCTATTTTCAGTCCTACACTCAAAAGTTGTCGATTTCACGATTTAACTTTTTTCATTAATAACCGGCTAAATCTTCGTGAGCATCTTCATTTTGATAAGACGCCCAAATTTTCTTTTGCCAAAATTCCAAAAACAGGTAGCTAACAGAGTGCGCAGGTGGAAAACATGTCTATTTGGTGATCATACAAATGTAAATAATAACAGTTAATTTTGTAGTGAAATGTTGAGATAGTTTCATAACTAATATGAAACAACATTTGTCCGACAAAATAAATGGTTTGATCTAGGCTGTCTCCCTTCTCAAACATGTAGCAGATACGTTACATAAAAAATTATTTATAACCAGTTGATTTTTTTAATGTAGCTTAATAAATATTACTACAATTAAATGGTTACACTGTCCTACAAATAAAGAGGTACATTTCTCCAGTCCTACACTCACAAGTTGTCGACTTCACGGTAATACTTCATTCATCAATCACCGGCTAAATCTTCTCGAGCATCTTCGTATTGATAATACGCCTAACTTTTCTATTGCGAAAAGTTGCAAAAGTAGTAGCTACTAAAGTGAGCACTAGTGAGCAGATGTAAAATACCTTGATTAGGTGATTATGCAAATGTAATTATTAACAGTTAACAGTTGATTTTTCAGGTGAATAATGAGATAATTTTATAAATAATTCGAAATTCGATTTGAGCCTCAAAATAAATGGTTTGGTCTGCAGTCTCCCCTTTCTCAAAAATGTAGCAATTACTGGCTCATAAAAAACGATTTATAAGCAGTTGATTTTTTTACTGTAGTTTGGTAAATATAACTACAATTACACATTGTCTTAAAGAAGTACGATTTCTCAGCCCTACATTCGAGAATTTCGAAAATAGCTTTATGCATATTATACGTAAATATGTACAGGGCTTTCATTTCAAAACTTGCCATCCACGTTATCTGCGTAAAGAGACAGATTTCTAGAAAAAAAGATTAAATTCAAGAATTTTACCTTTTGTATTTTAAAAAATATATTTATTAAAATATTTGATTTTTGATATTATTTGAAATGAACATATCTCTTTTATTTTTGAGCTGTCGAGAAAATATTATTTGGAAAACTCCTGTATTTTTTAAGTTCCGCGTCATTTAAAAAGGAAAACCCCAACTTAGAAAACACCCTGTATATAGGGTGATTCAAAAAAGCGCGCCAGATTTAATACATTAAAAAAGGAGCTCAATTTTTTTTAATATCTTTAGAATTAAGATGAACCGGTTGGATCAAACCTTCTCAATTTGGGTATGGAAAATGACAAAGGGCATGGCCCCCTCTACTTTGATGGCATGCCAAAACTCCCTTTCGAGCAATTCAAATCTGGCGCGCTTTTTAAATCACCCTATACTACGATACTGTGTTATTTACGAGCATGCGCGTCAATTCGTGTGTGTACATACACATAACACATATACTGTTATACACGCATCTGTGTACGTACATGTACATACAGGGGCTATCATTTCGAAATTTGCCACCCACGTTATCTGCCTAAAGAGACAGATTTCTGGAAATCGCCGGAACACGTCAACAAATTAACGAAGGTACCCCTTCAATAAATTTGTTGACGTGTTTCGGCGATTTCTGGAAATCTGTCTCTTTACGCAGATAACGTGAGTGGCAAGTTTTGAAATGAAAGCCCTGTACCTACATATTTACGTATAATATGCATAAGGCTATTTTCCAAATTCTCGAATGTAGGGCTGAGGAATCTTACCTCTTTAGGATAATGTGTAATTGTAGTTATATTTAGTAGTAAAAAATCAACTGGTTATAAATCGTTTTTTATGAGCCAGTAATTGCTACATTTTTGAGTGTCCCCTGCAGACCAAATCATTTATTTTTTGGCTAAAATCGAATTTCGAATTATTTATAAAATTCATTATTCACCTGAAAAATTAACTGTTAACTGTTAATAATTACATTTGCATAATTACCTAATCAAGGTATTTTCCATCTGCTCACTAGTGCTCACTCTAGTAGCTACTACTTTTGCAACTTTTCGCAATAGAAAAGTTAGGCGTATTATCAATACGAAGATGCTCGAGAAGATTTAGCCGGTCGGTGATTGATGAATAAAGTATTACCGTGAAGTCGACAATTTTTGAGTGTAGGACTGGATAAATGTACCTCTTTATTTGTAGGACAATGTAACCATTTAATTGTAGTAATATTTACTAAGCTACATTAAAAAAATGTTGTTTCAAATTATTCATAAAATTATCTCAACATTTAGCTAAAAAACTAACTGTTATTAATCAAATTTTCATAGTCACCAAATCGACATGTTTCACACCTGCGCAGTATGTTAGCTACCTGTTTTCGCAATTTTCGTGAGAAAAAAGTTGGGCGTCTCGGTGAAATGAAGCCTCATTGAAAAAACTAGCTTGTTATTAATGATTTGGAAAAAAGGGCCTCGGCCCCCGGACTATTGTGTTATTCGGAGCAGCACTTCCCGCTTTGGGGAGTTCGTTTGAGTGTTTTATATGGGTGTATCCAAAGGCCCACTTGGTGTATCTGCCATAATCTGAAATATTTACGGCTTAGTTCAAGTCAGTGCAATACAAACAAACAAACCTAAAATTTGTAGTTTCAATTTTATTCCATTTCAATTTATTCAATCAGAAGCAGTACAATCAAATTATAAAAATAATTACATTCTCTGTCAACTCAAAAGGCGGGGATAATAATAAACAAATAAACAACGGTGGTAGCGTGGCGAGGCGCTGATTCCAGTCCAAACATGAAAATGCCAAAAATTGCAACGTCGCATTTAAATTGTTTTGAGGCTCACCAAGCTCTTGTAAGATTCGCATACTTGAGTGAATAACAAAATTTTCTGCAGAGGTTATCTGTTCTGTTGTATGAACAATCTGTAATTTCAGACTTTCCGTTAGCGTATTCTTCTTCTTTTCTGGGGTTCTTGGCTTTTGCTCCTGATAGGTCAATTTGCCAGCACATCCGTATCAATGGTGCAAAAAGTTAAGTAGCGATACAGTTTTACTTCAACCGTTGATTGAAATATATGTTTTTCTTAATCAATTAACAGTTTTATCTGGAATACCCAAATTCAAGGAAAAAACTAAAAATAGACCCAAATACCCAGAAATTATATTTTAATGAAAAAATACCCAAAATTTGAGTAATTACCCAGAGTTTGGCAATACTGGTGCGAACTATTTACGGGTTATTCAATAAAAGCAAAATATGTGTGGTGCTCGGCGAAACTTTTAAATTTTTATAATTTGGCATCGTGCTCGCCAAACTTGCATATATTACCGTCTTAATATTCGTTGGATTATTTTAAGTTGACGAAGTCCTAAATCAGAGAATGTCGGACTAGCTAATTAGGCATTCCAACGACCTGTCAAAACTATTTGAAAAAGGCGTCGGGGGCGGACGTTCATTATTCCGTAAGTATATGAGAGTACAGAATTTAAAGCTTTTTAAAGTGCATTGTGTAGTTGTTTTGTGACTGAACTCTGTTTATTTTTTTATTTTATTGACTTCATAGGATTTTTTCTAATTAAAAATGCCACAAAAGTGTCTTGCCGTTGATTGTGGAAGGCGCTCCAACAAGGATGATGTCAGGTTTTTTTCAGTGCCCACCGTTCTAAAATTTTCCTATTGAAACGTGAAAATTATTCACTAGGTACCACTGTTCCTGCACCTAAAATAAAGCCAAATTCGGAATACTTGTAAGAAACTAAGCTTTTGTAGGCCCTCATTTGCTCATTGCTGTAAAAACTGTGGGTCAAAAAGTAAACAAATGTCACCTGGATATTTTTTCAAATTTACCGTCCGCCCTCATCCCGATTTTCCTGCATAAAAGTCTTTAAATATTCACTCTGCATCTCGAAAAGTATATTATAACAAAGCAAACTGTAATTAGGTCGAAAATATTCCAAATAAGCTCAAGATAAACAAAAAAAACGTCAATTTTCCCCCAGACGCCATATTGAAAAATCACGTGGTTTGGAGCCTAATTAGTTTGAATAGTGTGATAGGTGAAAAAGGGGATTATGCCTTGTTAAAGGCAAGTTGTACTTTGAGCTGACTTTTTGTTCAAAATTGAATTGCCTAGCTACGCAGCTTCGAAGTCTCGTTCAAAGTGTTTTGTACTGTAAAACTGGATAGTGATATCTCATTTTATTTTTAATAATGATTATTATCTGAGAAATGCGATGTAGCAGAATTATTACAAGTACCTACCAATTTCCCCATTTTTTTATTGAAGTAAAATTGAAAAAAAAAGCAACGGTAATTGGATCATATAAAATCAATTTTTAGATGGATGCACAAATTCGCCCTTCATTCCTCAAAAGTCGGATATTCCTATTTTACGCTGGCTGACAGTCCTGGGTGAATGAATTCAATATAAATAAAGTGGCATCTAGTAGTAACGACATATTTTCAGACTCAATTTTTAACTTAATCAACATTTTTCTCGTCTGTATGACATATTAACGACATATTTTCAAACCTAATTTTTAATTTAATTTCAACAATACATAAAAAGTATACATTTTTGGTAAGAGAAAACTTCGACTTTTTTTAGTGGAACACCCTGTATATTATGCGATAAAGTGAAAGATCTATTCTTCTTGATTCCAAATATATACTTAGGTATTCATCACATTTGCGTGAGCCATTTTTGACTTACCTTAGTTTAAATAAGAAATTTGCAAAGAAAGTTCATAAGGATCTCTCTCGGGATCTCTTTATAAAATTTCTTAGCTAAAATTTATCTGCAATTTAAGCTAATTAATATATATAAGGATTGTATGTGGTCCATTTTTTGGGCAGATGATAGGTTTGAAGAAAAACAGTCTTGAAAATCCCAAAAATTCTTAATTTATGTACTACCGGTTTCGAAGCTTCAACGCTTCATCTTCAGGTATAAAAGACTAAAATTGAAAAATACGACAATGAGCACAGGTTGTATTATTTTCGTTGAATCAATCAACCTCTAAACTTGGTTATATTAATCTTAATATGTATCTAAAAACTGTAACTTACATATTTAATAATAATGAGAGTTGTCAAAATCAGGTCGATTCGGAGGAACAATAACTGGGCACTAGGCAAAATTGTCAATTAGGGATGTTACCCTTTTGAGTGTTATACTCATGTCCAAAAACAGGAAGGTCGGTTGATATTTTTAGTCTGAAAAAATTCCAGGAAAATTATTGAAATTTATTAGCAGTAGAAATTCGATAAGTTTTCAAAGGGTTGGGAGTTTTTTATTGTTTTTTATTAATACGGAAAAAATTCCATCATGTGAAAAATACCTTTATTTGTCAAAATGGTGTCTCTTCAGAACATGTTTTTTTCTTTCTTTTTGTTTTTAGGTTTTTTGGGTTCTTGGGATTTCTTGTTTCTTGTACAAAAGTAGTAAAAAAAAAACTTATGAAAAACTTTTCCATAGTTGCAGGCAAGCACTTTGCCACGGTAGAAAATATACTTATTCTACTGTAACAGGAAAAAAATATTAGTGGCAGTAAAGAAGGTTGCTGTTACAACCAAACTTTTTCCTAACTTAGTAAAGAAGTTTTGGCTAGAGGATTTATCAGTGTAGAATCAACAGAAATAATGAAACGAGATAACGAAAAATATTACAAAATTATTGCACCACCTGTAACCACCAATTAACCTCAAAAAATGACAACGATAATGCCACAGTTTATAATGCATTGGATTGCAATGGATGTCTGCAGACGATCGCGCGCTCCATGTAGCGGTAGACAATGTGCGCTGGCCTAATAGGAAACGCGATGCCAGATATAATTTTACAAGTCCTAAAGGATTAGCGCTCCATGTAGCGGTAACCAAATAGGAAACGGAAAAATGCGACCCGGCCACGCGTTGCTGTGACTCAGTCAGTGATCTTTGCTAAATTTGAAGTATCCGATACTCTATTTCTAAATGCTTGAATACTCTGGATCCTTTTTTTTTCTCACGCACCACTATCCTCAGAGTAAATCCGCAAGATTAGGGTTTAGCGAGTAGCCGTAACATCATAAAATCCTTCAAAGTTTACAGAAATCTGTAATCATGCAGCGTGCAGATTTGTAATTGGTACAAAATCCGTGCGCAATGCTATATATACATATTCTTTGTGACGTCGATTTGTTTGTATTGTTGATACAAGATACACTTTTATCCTCGCCTTTACCTTTATCTTTTTTTTATACTGGTTTATTTTCAAACGTCATATAACAGGTATTTCTGTGATCATTTTGACAAGGTATAAGAACCACTTCAATGACTTTCAGCTGGAGCGACGTATAAATGTTATACTCCGGCGAGTTATAACATTTATACGCCGTTATACTCTTTGTTTCACGAGAATTTGTACTTTTATATTTGCCTTCCTTTTTTAACATATAAAATTTGACTGAAACAATTTGTTTCAGTCAAAAAACTAACACAGTTTTCTTGAGTATCTTTAAATTACGCCAAAAAATTAACACAAAAATTGTTTACTCATTTTTGAATAAAGTTCTGAATGACTTCATTATTGGACGAAATTAATAAGTAGATCAGTGGTTCCCAAAGTGGGCGATAACGCCCCCCAGTGGGCGCTACAACCATCTCGGGGGGCGGTAAAGAGCTCAGCTGATTTTAGGGGGTGGTAAACACAAATTAGTGGGCGGCGAAAAATAAACAAACAGATCAGAAAAAACAAAAAAAATAGTAAATAGCTTTTTACGGTAATTACTCTTCAATACTATAAAGATAAGGCTCATAGTCAGTCTATGTCTATCTCTTTCAGAGTCGATTTTGGCAAGCTTCAAGTTATGAACGCAACCCGCTCGCACCTCAACTAAGTCTGCTATGACTTGCTTAAAATGTGATACCGCTACTACACACATTGATCAGCAGCGGCTGCATTAAAGTTATTGTATTTTACTTATAAATAACTTCAAAAAGCTCAAAAATGAGCTACGTCAAGTAAGCCCCCTCATTCGACTTTTCTAACAAAATTGCAATCACTTTGAACTGTGCTGTATCAGGTTTTTCTCAAAATTTTCTTATTCAGTCATTTTCCGACAAAATCCTCCTGGGGGTGCTAACCTAACGCTCAGCCCCCAAAATTTTGGAAAAAAGATGAAACAAAAATGGACTCTTATGCAATCTGAAGTGTGCTGGACATGTGTTGTATCAGGTTTTTCTCAAAATTTCTATATTCGGTAATTTTTCGACAAAATCCTAGTGGGAAAGGCTAACTTGACGCTCAGCCTCCCAATATTTTGGAAAGAAGATGAAAAAAAAATGGATTCTTATGCAATCTGGAGTGTGCTGAATTGTGCTGTATCAGGTTTTTCTCAAAATTTCCATATTCGGTCATTTTCTGACAAAATCTTACTGAGGAGGTAACTTGACGCTCAGCCCCTTGGATCCCTGCCAAGTGGGGCGCTGGATAATTCCCATTTTCTAAAAGTGGGCGGTAGGTTAAAAAAGTTTGGGAACCACTGAAGTAGATCATCAAACTTATGTAGATTTTTCTGGGATTTCCGAATAAGTATGACATCAATAAATAATTGAAACTCTAATAGATGTATTTTTTTGATGTCATATTCGGAAAGCCCAGAAAAATGTACATACGTTTGATGCTCTTCTTATAAATTTCGTTCAATAATAAAGTTGCAAAATAGTGTGAGCCGCTCACAGTGAACACCCTCTATTATTTAGTTTTCAATAAAAGAACACGCTGTTCTGTGTATTGAAACACATTGCGGATACAGTTTTTAATGTAGTTACTTGAAATTAGGGCTCAAACTGATAATTAGTCCAAAATTTTCTGGTGAATAGAGATGGAATTTCACTCCTACCCCATACGTTGCGTTCTCATTGGCAAAATGGTCTCAACTGAGAGCAGAGGATTTTCATCAAATTTGATTTTTTTTACTCAGATATTTATTACGTTACTAACTTTTGTGTAAAATTCACACAAATAAGTGAAATTACAACAGATTTACTAAAAAATTAACACCGACTGGTATTTACTCATAAAATTTTTGCGGCTTACTCAATTCAATTTTTTACTGTGCTCATGAAACAAATATTACATATTTTCTCATAGCGATTTAAGATGGTTCACATACATGGTACATACAGGTATAGGTGCTTATAAAGGTTATACAACTCACTGTACATTATTCCCATATGACACGAGAGGCTTAAAAAGTGATAAGCCTTTTGGGATTATCGCGCTTGGTGGCAATATTGTTAATTTGTCATTAATGATTATGAAAATTGATGAAGTATTGAAGTTCAGTTCGTTGTATAACCTTTTGAATACCACTCGATGTTTCAGGATTACCTAATACTTTTACCTGACACTCAACGCGTTACCAGCAACACCACTCCTCCTTCGGAGTCGTGGTGTTGCTGCGTAACGCGTTTCGGGACAGGTAAAAGTATTATTCGGTAATCCTGAAACCTCTTGTGGTATTACATTCGATAATCCCTTTAAATATGAATGTCATAATTTAAATTAAAAATTGTGCACTTTTGGAATAAAGATCGTCTGAAAATAATAGTTATTTACATTACAAGTGTGTTTATGAACATGATTACAATACCGAGTGTAAAAGATTAGAACGACGAGGTCGTAGACCGAATCGTTCTAATCATACGAGTTTTGTAGTCATGCTTAAACGTACGTGTGATGAACAACGTTTTATTTAAAAAGCGAAAAATTAGAAAATGTTTTAACAATTTTTGTTTATTAGTAGTTGCCTACCATCATTTTACCTTTACAGGCTTAACTATGACATTTTTTGTCAAATCACAAAAACTAGTTGTGGTATAGAATCATAACCTAGTCCATAACACCACTAGTTATGTTATAGACTCATAACCTAGTCCATAACACCACTAGTGTTATGAGTGTGATAACATAACTCAAATACTGGAAAAATAGTTATGTAAAAACGTCATAACCAAACGCTTGTCGATAAAATATGTATTTCATTCGGAATATAAGTATTCTTCATGTAACTTGCATGGATTTGATTCGCCTCGCTGCGCTCGGTATTCAAACTTCCATGCGCATCACATAAGTATTACTTATACTCCTAATGAAATAAATATCTATTAATACATTTTTCATTTTACCTTCTGCAAAGTCGCATTCTATTCAAATTACACTTTTCGTAACATCACCTTTAATGCGCTCGTAGAAAAAATATAGTTCCTAACGCTTTCGTTAGGAAAATAGCTATTTCATTTCAGATAAATTTCTATTTTTCAAATACAATACAATTATGTTTTTTTCTGTTTAGTACAAATTGGTTTTGCTTGATTATTGCATGCTGCTTCGGTCAGGAAATTATTCCTGGTGGCCCCACATCCCTTGTATATCGCCCTTTCGCATCCCTTTAACTTATTGTTCCAATGATAGATGAACGCATTAGTCTCTCCACCTGAACATCTCATCCATTTATTTTGGTATGGCCTGTCACAATCTGAAATTGTATAAATCATTTTCAATAGGATTAAAACAAAAGTCAGATAAATAACAAAATAAATTGTGATATTTATTGACGATGGGGTGGAATGAATGTATAAAAGTAGAATTTTGAATTCAAAATTTGAAAGTTAGATTTCACGAAATCGAAATTAAATCTAAGATCCTGCCCGAGGTCCTGCCCCTCAGTTTTATTTTATAAATTAGTCATACCATGTTTATTGTTTGATGTGTTGATTGACGATTTGTATCATTTATCAAAGAAGTAATCACGCTTATACCAACCCAACGTTGATCACAGGCCCAGAAGCAAATAAAAATAAAAAAAATAGGGAATGCAGAAAAAAAGGAACTGCACAAGCAAGCAAAATACTATTTGATAGGCGAAAAAAAAAAATCGGAATGATGCCCATACTAGCTATATACAGTGTGTCCCGTCCCGCTTAAGGACTGACCACCCTTCTAAAAATTTTATTTTCAACCGATTCAATTCATTTGTTTTTTTGTCTTATAGCCACTCGAATTTGGCACTTATTAGGCTCATAATTTTATTTCTGCGGCTGTACTGGTGTACAGGGTGTCCACATTTATAGGCTCAAATTTCAATAAGTAGGTACTATTAGGGATTTTTTTTAGAAAAAATCTGATAGCAGATTCTTGTTTAGAATGGTCTAAAACCCAAATGTTTTAATTTTTGTTTCAATACGATACAGGATGATGACAACAAATTTTCACAATTTAATGAATCAAACCACAAAAATATTATATTTAGAGACAAGCTTACTACAAGTTTTGGTTAAGGATATTCTAAAACTATGTTGTATCAAGTTTTGTTGTTCTCAAGGCATCAAAAAATGACATTTTTCCGGTTTGGTCCATCAAATTTTGAAAATTTGTTGTGATCACCCTGTATCATATTGAAACAATACTTAGTACATTTAGATTTTAGCAGTCTAAACAAGAATCCGCTATCAGATTTTTTCTAAAAAAATCCCTAATAGTATACTCATTGAAATTTGAGCCTATAAATGTGGACACCCTGTACACCAGTACAGCCAAAGAAATAAAATAATGAGCCTAATAAGTATCTAATTCGAGTAGCTATTATAAGACAAAAAGAAATGAATTGAATAGGTTGAAAAATAAAAGTTTTAGAAGGGTGGTCAGTCCTTAAGCGGGACACACTGTATGTACAAGTTTCTATTTAAAATATGTACTGTTTATTTGAAAGAATTCTTAAGAGACAGTCGTACAAAAAAAAAAACTATGTTCAAAGCTTTCTCATGACTGACTTCCTCCACATTTCGATCTTCTCCAAATCGACTTGTACATCCCTTCTAAAATGTTTCTAATGTCTACTCAATTACTAGTTGAAAACCCCTAAATAAATATCAGGAAAATACTTGTGGGACACAAGAAATAGGGCACAGCCTATACATTTTTTAATATGTATATAAGTTGGAACTTTGAAATTTGGGCAACTTAACTGCAGCAACTTTTTGAGATTTCAAACCAAATTGCGTTATGGGTCAATTCCGGTTGCCATAACTTTTGAATTTCAATAGGGAGTGATCCTTTTTTAATTTTTTTGGCATCAGCAGATCATTTCAGGTATAATAAATAATAGGACCATTTTTGAAAGATTTTTTACATAAAAGAGAAAAATAATTAATAGGTAGGTACATATTTAGAAAAAAAAATTGACGCTGCCACTAGTGTAAATTGATTTAGTTGGCTTTTCTAATTATCAGAGAAAATTGTAAATTCAATTTTTCCTCGCCTGCTCTCAGTTCAAAATTAAACAAAGAGGTTTTGTCAAGACAAGGTCAAGACAATATCCCATTCTTTTTAAATATAGGTAACCTGAAACTAGGTTTTTTGTCTCTTTTTTGATATCATTTTTAAAATCCGCTAAAAAATAACCCAACGTTAAAAAATCTTTATTTTCAAATGATGCAAATATTAGTTAAGCAGTGGACTTTTTTTTTTTTTCTACATTTGTCAAAAAATGATGATGTTCGCACACTCATGACAGCTTGCGAAGTGACACTTTTTTTCCCAGGTATTGATTTTTTAACGTTCCCATGACGCCGTGTGCGAACTTGATATTTCGCGCACACGTGCGCGAAATAGCTAGTTCGCACACTGGGTTTCATGGTGACACATACCTGTCAGGAAATCAAAAATAATTAAAATTCACCTACCTTTGATTGAAAATGGAATTTTGGCTTTGAATGATTGATATTTCGCGCCCTTGATACAAAAATAACTATTTCGATCAAGTTTGCCAAAAAAGCTTTCTATTTGTTTGCGAGTTTGTTACATTTATTAAAATTTGGTTTCTATAGTCGAAACGATCGCCGCATCCCATTGAAAACTTATTTTAAAAAAGTGGAAAGTCAAAAGCGAAGATATCAAAATAGAAATGCTGAACCTGAAAATTGCTTTATCAGTAATCGGGATATTGAATTGAAATTAATGTGATTGCCTATGTAAATGTGAATGCTACAGCTTCTCAGGAAACCAATTAAACCAACTGTTGATGATTTATTTTGGGTTATTACTTTGCCTGCAATAGCAATACCTACTTATTCAGATAATTATTTTGAAATAATTACCTAAATCTATTTCATAATAAATTCTAGAATCTATAAGAGCAGCAAATTTCATATTTCATTTTATCTATAAAATTTCAATCAAAGAATCGAAGTGTACCTTCATCAGTGAAATCCCTAAAAGCACCATAGGATCCATGAATCCTTCTGTTTATTTCTGGAGCATCGTCAACTACTCTGCCATAGCAAACTTGGAAAGCCACTAAAACCAATATAAAAATGTAGAGAGACTGCATTTTAAGTTTTTTCGTAACACATAAACTCGTTTGTCAATAACTACTTTATATAGTCCAATGCCAATATTTATATAAAATACCAATTTTGATAAACGTACTATTCATTTGATAACCCCAAGAGTTCACCAGTTAAGGAAAAGATTATAAACACAAATATTTTTATTGTTGATAGTTAGTATATACTTGATCCAGCTTTGTTCACTTTCTGCCTTCCACGTACAAGGTCGTCTGTCTGAGTCCAGTTGGAAGTCGTTCCCCGCTTTTTGTGGGGTCTAGTCGTCTCTGATAGAATCGGTATGATCAACTTTCATCATTCATTCTTCAAGCCATATATGCCCTGGGGTGCGATTTTTGAAACCATTCGAGTACATTTCGTACACGAAATTTGACTGACAGCAATGTAAACTAAATGGGGAGCAGTCAAATTTCGTGTACGAAATGTACTCGAATGGTTTCGAAAATCGCACCCTGATACCATTTCGGACAGGATATTCTCTCATGGGATCGTCAACTGGGAGTTTGTCTCACGCATATATTCTGGGCTTTGTCTCTTAGGGCCACTCACATCCTATTGACAGATTTTTTTTTTGTCAGGTTCAAAGTCTGGTTCCATAGGTGAGAACTGGCAAAACACAACTTTCTGAGACCTTTCCTCCAAAGCGGAGAGGAATGAATTTCTTGAATACATCATACATATTACATACATATATTTTCACAATACCCAAATTTAAACAAATTGATTTTCAATTAAATTTTGTTTTCAAATTACAATGTTAAAATATCTTTTATTTTTTTTCCACTTGTTTGATTTTCTCAAGCTTTACAAGAAATCAAATTTATTGTGTTCCATTAAAAAGTACATATACCTAATCGATAATTTTGTTTTTTAATGTGAAAATTTATTCAGTACTGTGTTATATTTAAGTAAACAATTTTATTATCAAAACAGAATCTTCACTCTTCTCTTAGAAAATATCGTTTATTTTTAAATTTTGTTTGCTTTCCAAGTATTCTGATTTTTCTTAAATTGAAAAATACAAACGCATAGGCTATAGAAAACCATAAAAATCCAGAACATTTAATGATTTACTTAATAATATTGAAAATGTACCTACCTTGCAGCTGTTAACAAAAAGATTTAAAGAAAATAAAACAAAAAATAGTCAAGTATAATTATTATGTAGTTTAAAAACTACTGTACTTCTAAAGTTTCTAATTAGATATATACATATTATATTAATGAATTAAGTAAGTATTTTGCATAGGTCAGTTTTTATTGTTCTTTTTTTTTCATAATTTTCACACTGTGTTATCGAGTATGTTTTTATTATCTTTTGGATATTGATATAATACAACCTAGTTTATATTTAAATGAAGTTATTAATAAAAAATAATATAGAAACTACTGTTAAATAATATATTAAGATTAGCTTATTTTTCTTGTCACAGTTAACAACTCGAATTTTGAGAGTTAGTTTTTAAATTTTTTTATTTTCAACAGTGGTTACAATACAACTGACTTAAACCTAAGTAAAATGAATATTTTTAATTATAAGCTTTGCTGACAAAGCGGTTCCCGTGAAATGCAACGGTTGGTCTAGTTCTGAAAACAAAGTAACAAAATCTCTAAGTTCACGAGAATGTAACTCCCCCCGTGTAAGTTGAAAGCACGTACTGAAAAATAAAAAACGTGATTTCACAAAAATATAAAAAAATTAAAAAATGCCTTCAACTTCATCACTTTCAATTTTTGGGAGTTTTCGAATTTTCTTAATGCACAATAAGCTGAAAAAGTGAATTAAAATTAATATAATGATTGAGTATTATAATATTGTCCAGAGACTGACGCGATTTGAATAAATCGTCTTGGTTGACATTTTTAAGTTTCTTCTTTTGTTCATGAAGTTTTTCATTGATGTCTTTGGATGGCTTGACGTTAATTATGTTCAAATCCGATGAAGGTAGGTCGTAGAGCATTGATTGATTATGGTTAATCAATGATAGGTCCAATATTGGTAAATTGACTTCTTTGAAAGAGAGTCGACTTGGCTTGAAGCTCTCGAGGGTGGTTGATTGTATTTGGGCTTTACAATCAACTGGCACTTCTAGTAGGTAGGATCCGAAGATGGGTACAGTTTCCTTTAGATGTTGACAGTTCGTTGAACTTTTAAAAGTGGAATAGGAAGTGTAACGAGCCATTTCCCATCAAGAATTTTGGTTATTTGCGGTGCGTGCAATTGAACTTCGAAAGGATGACAAGATGTGATGTTTGTAATGTATTTAATCAGCTGTACTTCGCATGGAAGGTAGTTTTCGATAAAGGTAGTATACCACGGTGGTTTGTTCGTGTCTGTACTTAATTGTGAAGTCTCGGTCTTCTGGTTGTACGTTATTAATTAACTTCGTACATTCAATTAGTTTTAGGTTTTTAAAGTGATTTTTCATGCATTGTTGGAAATAGATTCTAAGATCTTTCGAAAAGAAATAAATGTATGTTGACTTTGTCTGCAGATATTCTTTTAGAAATTTCAAAATAGCTGGAATTTGGGTAGGTAAAGTTGCATGAATGATTTTATTACCGTAAAAAATTTCGGGTTCTATTTTAATGTAGGCGCCGTAAGGAGATTTTTTAATAATAAATTGCATTGATTTATTATTAATTATTTCGTCTAGCATAGTCATATTTGAGTAATTGTCTACAGCGTCTGTGCTATGTGCTGTTCCTGAGTTGGAAGGGACTCAATTTCATTTTGGTTTCTCTTCGGACCAATTATAATAGGGATAGTTAGCTTTACTTGTGGAAGGACGACTTTCAAAATTTGCTGCTGTTCGAATTTGAACGTTCGATACGATATTCACTCTAGGAACTTCAAAAGTTTTTGGAATATCTTCGATTTCTCGAAAAGCTTCTATCACTGCTTCATCTGTGACGCTATTGGGATCGAAACGTGGATCGAGATTTTCGTTTAAAAAATGATTGATAGCTTCATCAATATTTCCGGGATGATTAATGAGAGATTCTGATTCAATAGCATGTAGGGATATACGAGAAAGTGCATCGGCGTTTGCAGTTTGGTTGCCTTTTTTATAAATGATCTCATAATCGTACTCCTCAAGCTTGAGGCGCCATCTTATTAGCTTGGATCCTGGCTCTTTCACGTTAAAACGCCAGACTAAAGGTCTGTGGTCAGTATATATTTTAAATTTTTGACCGTATAGATAGGGTCGGAAATATTTACAGGCCCAAACAATAGCCACAAAAGTTCTTTTTCTATTGTGGAATACCTTTGTTCGGTTTCATTGAGTGTTCTACATGCAAAAGAGATTGGCTGATCGTGAGGTGGATTTCCTTGTGACAAGACGACTCCCAGGGCGAAATTCGAGGCGTCTGTGGAAAGTACAAAGGGTTTTTCGAAATCAGGGTATTTCAGGATAGGTGCATTTATAAGAGGTTCTTTCAAATTATTGAATGATTTTATGAAAGGTTCACTATGAATGACTTTTGCACCTTTTTTTAAGCAGGAGGTCAAGGGCTTTGCGATTTTGGCAAAATCCTTGATGAATCGGCGATAATAACCGGCTAGGCCTAAGAAAGATATTATATCCTCTCGTGTTTTTGGGATAGGAAATTGTCTTACAGCTTCGACTTTGTCGGGGTTGGGTTTAACTCCATCGTTAGTGATTTTGTGTCCAAGATATGCAACTTCTTTGTGCAAGAATTCAGACTTATCTAGCTGGATTTTAAAGTTTGACCGTCTGAGGCGCTCGAAGTATGTGTTCTGTTAGAGAAGTGCTGAAAATGATTATGTCATCGAGGTAAACTGAACAAGTTTCGTTTTGTAAGCCTCGGATAACGTTATTCATGACTCGCTGGAAGGTGGACGGAGCATTTTTAAGACCGAAAGGCATTCGTTTGAATTTAAAATGTCCGGTGTCAGTGGAAAAAGCTGTTTTGGAAATATTACGGGGATCAAGTTCGATTTGATGAAATCCATTGGCCAAATCGAGTGTGGTGAAATATTGCGCCTTGCCTAATTTATCCAAGATATCGGAAATATTGGGCAATGGGAATTTATCGTCAATCGTTTTATCATTAAGTTTTCGATAATCGATTACGATTCTCCATTTTCTTTTTCCAGTGGCGTCCATTTTTTTCGGGACAATCCATATAGGACTACTCCAAGGTGACGTAGAATGCTGAATAATGCCGTTTGTAACATTTGGTTTATTTGGGTGGTAACTTCTTGTTTGTAGACTGCAGGGTATCGATAGGTTTTGGTAAATATAGGAGTTTCATCAGTGAGATTTATTTTATGTTTAATTTGGTTGGTAAAAGTTAAGGGCGAACCTTCACAGAAAAATATATCACGATACTGATAACAAAGGTCTCGAATGGCTTTGTATTCTTCAGTATTGCAATGAGATAATCTTAAGTTTTTAAGATTTTGTTTTTGCAAATTATCGAAATGGTCATTATTATTAACGTTATAATTGTTGACCTCAATATTTTCATAGGCATTAATCTCTGCGTCGTCAAGTAATTCAATATCTAGTGGCTTATATATGCTTATCTTCACAGGGTTTTCGCGTGGGTTTAATATGGTCGTTAATGCAAATGAGTCGACTATATTTACTAAAGATTCTGGTATTTCAGCGGCACCAAAGTCTGTATAACTTAAAATACCTATACCATTTTGTTCATTAACTGGTTCTTTTATTTTTTGACAAGTTTGAGGCGGAATAAAAGCTTCAAATTTTCGCACCAATTTGTGTAAGGAAATTTGTTCCTAATAATCCATCAAATTTTGGGGAAAAATCAAATAAATAAAATTTGTGATTTCCTTGACAATTAAAAGAAGGAAATATAGGAATTTCTACTACCTCATTGTGAATTGATGTGGCATGTGCCGTACGCACTGAAAATGGTTCAAATTCGATTGAATTTGGGTATATTTGATAGGCAAGATTGGGTTTGATAAAACTTTTTCCGCTGCCAGTGTCGATGAGAAATTTGGCATTTAATTCGGGTAATATAAGAACTG